AAGTTGCTGTCGTTTTGTTCTTCAGTCTAGTTGTGGAGGACGTTGCTTCACTGGCCCAAGTTGGCACCATCATTGCGCTCTTCCTAGGCAAGGCAGATCAGTCGCCGGCTTCTGGACGGCCGCTCACTGCGGCTGCTGGCCGCTCACGCTGGCTGCTGGCTACACACAGTAGCCCATGGCAATCCACTGCCACAGGGGCTGCAGCCTACGCCGTGGCCAGCGACTCACGGCAGCCCAGCTCCAGGTTGAGCTGTTGTTCAGCATCTTAGCTGTAGAGGGCAGTGTCACTGGCCCTCATATGTGGGATCCGAACCGGGGCCCTCTGGCGTCCCAAGCCAGTTCTTAACCATCGCACCACTCGGCCGGCCCCGATAATATATATTTTTAAATGTTTTAAATTAAACATACAATTAACAATTTAATATTTATTAAATGTATTTAAAACATTTATTTATTTATTTATTTATTTAAAGGCTGTGGCTTTGAAAAATCTCTTGGATTGGAGTTTGAAGAGTCAGGATCAATTCTCGCTTCTTCAAAACAGATCTGACAGGACAGAAGCATTTCATCTCCCTGCCTCGGTCTCAGCCCTTGTGAAATAGGTACACTATTCTCTGTGTACCTCACAGGGTTATCATGAGACTCAAACAAAATATTGGACAGAGGTAGGAAAACTAAAAGCAAACCACACCAACACTCAAACCCCTGCAAGGATAAACACTGTTATATTAGTGTTTAGTTCTCAGGCTCTTCCTTACCCTAATGGCGGCACAAACATGTTCTATGACAAGAGAGCTGAGCACCTTGTAGGACTTAATCTAACTGAGATACCAGGAGGTTCTCTGAGAAACTTATCTTATGAAACCTGAGTGTGATTGGGGAGCTTATCTGGAGGGTTTCATGAGGGGAAAGGAGAGCAGAGCCGGGCTGTGTCATGGAATATTCCTTCCTTTCTTCCATTCCTCTCAGCCTTGTGCTGTTGCATTTCTTGCTGTGTATTATTGACAGAGGAAATGCTGATTCATGGGTCTGAGTTACAGGAAATCTTGTTTCCTGGTGAAGAAACAAGCCTGGTGGCACTGCCAGCATGCTCCTCTGCCAGTTTCTGCCACATGCCTTTCTCCCAGGCCTGCCCTGAGAGCGATTGAGAAGGGGCGGGGCCAACTTGGGCTTAACCAATGAGGTCACTTTCCCTTGGATCTGCATTAAGCACAGGCTTGCTCGCTATGCATCTCTAGGCCCTTCAGCTGTGACCCCAAGATACCTTTGCAGCTCATTTCCTACCACTCCCTTCTTGCACCCTGTGCTGTGGCCACACCTGACTACTTCCAGTTCTTTGTGAACACCTTGTATTTTCCAGTCCCTATGCCTTGGCTCATGATGTGCCTTGCTTGGAATGGCCCCTGACCCAGTATCGGCTCACTGAAATCCTACCCATGCTTTCATTCTGCTCAGCTGCTACTTGCTATGTGTAGCCTGAATTCCTTCTATGTATTTTTATTCTTTTTCAGTAGGGTTATTTCCAAATATGCACAAAAGTGGATAAAGCTGTATGATGAACTTCTATGTACCCATCTCCCAGCTTCAAACAATTACCTGAGTTCTCGTCAATAGCACTTAATCCCTCCTTTGAGTTCTCCTAGTAGCTCCTATGTTCTGTGCTTAACCCATTTACTGAACTGAATGGAAAGAAGGTGAATCAGTGGATTTAGAGTGCTCTGTTTACTCACCTCCCACAATGGGGAAAAGGAGGCTCAGAGAAGTGAAGTGTGTTGCCCAATGTCAAAAGACAGGTGGATGGTGGCAAGCTGAGACCAGATTCTTCTGAAGAGCCTCACAGTCTAGTTGGAAGGCCTGGAAAACATAACAAGTAGATACTCCTGGATCTTGAGTACTATAGGAGTTCAGGTTAAGTGATTAGTAAGTGAGTGCTGAATGAACAAATTAATCTTCTCTCTAATTGACTAATAAGATGACCTCTTAAGCTCGGCACCGAGCAGCCCCCAGGTCCTCTCCATTCTATAATCCAGTGTCATCATGCTAAAGATATTGGAGATAGTTGACTTACATGGCGAGAAAACCCATCTAATTATAAAGGCCAGTAAGAGTTAGTGAAAAGTTTAAACTGATAAATATTTTTAAATAAATTTTGTGTTATTGCTACATGGAGTAGGGAGTAGGTTCTATATCTGAAGATCCTAAATGCTCCTGAGTTAATCTGGACTAAAAAGCGGGAAGAGAAATTCAGAGAGTCTTAAGTTGGGTGGTTTGGAGTACTTGCGCACTAGATAATTTGGGAGGAAGGCAAGAAGAAAAGTGTGGGAAGATAAAGCAAGAAATAAAAGCTCGTAGGGGGATAATGGCAATTTTTCAGGTTGATACAAATCTGGCTCAAACCCATGGGAAGTACAGCAAGATGTCACCTGGATGTCCAGTCTAAGGCATCCTGACTTTACTCTGTCAAAATAACAGGAGGGCTCTGGTCATCAGCCAAGTGGCTGTTGCTAGTGAAGTGGAAAATAGAAAGCGTGTGTGAGTTTTCCTCATAAAATGGAGTTAAAACACGATTTGAGATCCTTTTCTTGAAAACAAAACTCTTGAATCAGATTCTTTCTAAGGGTCACATATTTCCTTGGTAATCACTGTATTTTTTGGTAAGGCAAAACAGATGGGAGGAAAGAAATGCAGGGAGCTCCAACAAGACATCTGCTCGGCACTTCGTCCACATTGCCTCATTGGCCCATTAAAATGTTGGCAGTCACACCAACCTAGAGGTCACAAGGAGGTTCTGAGGTTCCCCAAAGCAATGGACAGAAAACGATTTGTAAGCTGTGAAGTGCCTCATTAAGGTCGTGACGTCTGCTGTCACTAGAAGTATTGGGTTGTCGGAAAAGTCATGACATATTTTTTCTATGTTTTTCATTGCAAAAATGCGTCATGACTTTTCCGACAACTCAATACACTAGTAACAATCTAATGACATAGGAGATGTCGCTGTGAAGACAAGAGGAGAGAATAAGGAGATGACAGAGAAGGGTTATTGGAATGCTGGGCTCACAATTCACATTTTAGCATGGGCCAGTGACCTGAGGAAGGAGAATGTCGGGGAGAATCCTGGAACTTATGCTCCTTTCCTTCATTGTCACTCTCTATCAGTGTCCCCGTGAAGATTACCATTCAAGGTGTCAGAGTGAAAATGTGGCCTGTATGCCTGTTTTAGAGGCAGCAAGTTGAGAGGTGGGTATACAGAAAGAAGTGGGGTCGTGAGAAATGTTTTACCTTCTGTAGGTAGTCTGGAATTGTGAAGAGAGGAAAATGGGTAGAATTCATAGGTCCTGTGGAGAGAAAAGAGGATTACGTTTTAACAGGCAAAAGGATGGAGTGTATTCCCTTCTAGGCTGAGCATGTCCTTTCAAATACAGGCAAGAACAAAATACTGCTAGAAAGAGACCTATGATAGCCACCACCAATAGATAGGATTCTACTATAGCACATGATGGTTTGCCCTCTAAAATCCATGAGAACACATTTCCTCATAAGGAAAAATATCCCCCCCTCCACCCCACTATGCACGTGCTTACCCACCTATGTATTTGCTTAATGAGTCTTTCTTCAAGGGGGTATAAAGGTAAGGGTGGCCCAGCACTTGGCCAACATTACAAACTCCAAATGTGGCCCTTTGGGGCAGCAAATCTGAATTTAACAACATCGAGGGGCAGGCCACTTGCCCACGTCTCTGAGGTACACAAATTGGAACAAGATTTGACCCTCGAAAGACTTACACCTTAGCAATGTGTGTGGTTTAGAGACTTCACAAAAAAAGAAGGAAAGACAGAGCTTCCTTTTTTGCCTGTAAGGGATCCACCTTCTTCCACACCTTCTTTGCTACCGGACAACAGTATACCTACGCCAGAAGCAGGAGTGGTCTGAAGGACATAGTCATTTAGGGCCTGGAAGATTTCCATCCAAGAGCTCAGGTGAAAGCCTCAGCCCTGGAGCCCGCATCACCAGGAGAAAGCCCAGCAGGAAGGAAAGACCTTGGCTGGGCTGAGCAGATTTCATTAGTGTTGGGGTTAATCCTGAGGTTAATGTATATTCGTTAGACTTTTTTGTTTCCTGGTGTCATATTTCCATTCCTGAGCTGAGAATTGTTCTGTAGACTTTGGCATGAATTTAGCTGCATTCCCACTGAAATGCAAGGCCAGTCTGTGTACATAAGAAAACTTCTGAGGTCTTCCCTTAAAAGGGCTACACTTGAGTGTTCAGGTCAGATGATCAGGCCCAGAGCAGGTACAGAAAGAAAGGAGGGTCCACACTGGTGTGCCTGTAAATGTTTAACAAGAGGCTCTCCAGGGGAAAGAGCCCTATTATAGGGTTTGCTGATTTCTGGGTGTAAATAGTCCCACTATGTACGATTTCAAGCTACCAACATGATGGTCACTGAGCATGGAGCTGGGAAGAGATGCGAAGGATCAGCTCTCATGAGCTGGTAGAAGCCGCACCAGTATACCACTAGCCAGCAGTCAGAACAGACACAGCAGAGCTTCCTCAGAGGAGCAGGAGGAATTGGAACTCAGAGACCCGACGAGGCCATTAGGTGGGTGTGGGTATGGGCAGTGACTGCACAAGAGGACAGGTAGGAGGTGGCAGCCAGCATCAAGCCAGACGTAATAGAGGGTCATCCAAAGAAAAAGAGCTACTGCTTGTTCACTGATCAATACTGTGTGTCAAATCCTGTCTGCATTATCACTCACTCTTACAGCATCTCTGTCAGGGTATTTTTATTCCTGTTTTGCAGATGAGGAAATCGAGGCCCAGAGGGATAAAATGGCTGGCCATGTAAGAAATGGTGGATTGAAAATTCAAACATGGAGTCTGTTTCCACTACACCATTAAGCCAGAAGGAAGCTGGGAGCAAGTCCTGTTCCTGGACATGCCAGGCAGGATATGTGACTGCTGCTGGCCAACTCCAATTCCTGGGAGGGTTGACATCTTTGTAGGAATGAGTGTACCAGAAGGTTATGAAATCAGAGTTCAGTATCAGGGACGAGATGAGTCACTGGACTTGGTGTACAAGGTCAGAAAGGGTTGGATTTGATGGTGGGTCACAGTCCAGGCCCTCAAGCCTGGAGTGGAGCTGAATATCAAGTTAGGAACTCCCTGAGTGTCAACCAATCAGGGTATCAGTCATCAAGTCCTTGTCTGGACTTCTGAGGAAGGACCCTGTGTAGGGTGAGTATGAGTATCTATGTTTTATATCAACATGGGGTCTACAGTACTTCAAAATGGTAATCCTGTCTATGGAAACTGACTTGAAAATGCAAATGTGTACTTAATAAATTACTCATGAATTGAAGCTATTGTACAGCTATGTACCATGCGAGGTGTGAAGGTTGGACGAGGGAGGAGCCGGGTGGTCACTGTGGGGAGATAGTCCAGGTGAATGAGGTACTGAAGAGGGATGCAACAAAGTGTCCAGAAATTGGGGAGAAATGAAAGCCTAAGGATGAGATCCAGGAGAGAGGGGGGGCCTGGGAATCATGTTAAAGAAAACTCGAGGAAGAACAACTTCCAGGTAGAGGAACAAGAAGGCCTAGGTCCAGGGCCTGAAAGGCCTCCAGGGACTTAATGAGGGGCTGCCTCCTCTTCGTGAGGGAAGTCTGAGTGGTAATAAACTGCTGAGAAATAAGATTTAACTTAGCTGGTATTTCTTGTCTGTAACTAGTGTATGTTCTGAAGTTTTTTTTCTTGGGTTGGAGAATTTAATTGAATTTCTTAACTCTCGGTATTTGCGTGTGTTGAATTGCAGTGGCACAAATTGGGAAATTAGGGCATTATTGAAAGATAAGCCAGTGGGAGATTAAAGATGGGACCCTGTCATTGCAGATGTCCTATCTATGAAAGCTAAGCCTCCCTTTTCACTCTTGGGGTCCAGTAGCCAAAGTCCATGCTGTTACACAGGAGATTTCATTTGCCTCAACCACCTTATGAGGTATGTTCTATTATTGTTCTCATTTAAAGGAAAGGTTGCCCTGCTAATCAGTGTCAGAAGGAGGGTTTGAACCTTCAGAGCTGCAACCTGTTATTAGGCAAACCATATGAAATGGTCTTTCTTTTAGATGGAATATTGGCAATTCCATATCATGTTATTTTGACCCTGTAGGTCCTGAGAATGTCCTAGAAGGAAGCAGATCTTGCTGTTACAGTGAGCAGACCCAGCAATCAATCTCAGTTGCATTGTGGCGTCCTGTCTATTTTGCCATATGTGATGCCGGCAGTGAGATTTTCAAAAGCGAAGGTGATGAATGTGTTAGACTTTCAAACCTGCAGAAGTTACTCGAGTGGTTTCCATCAGGTAATGGACATTGGAGAGAGACCTAGAAAAGATTGCCCACACTGAGCTACTTGAGGAGAACCAGCATGGTTTCTGATGCATGGTGTTGAATAAATGGTGAACCAAGAGCTTATGCTTGTATAAGATTTCACAACGCAATTACATACTAATACGGCTCTCTCCTGAGTACACCACTCACCAGTTCAACCTCTTTGCACACGGTTAAAATTTTGGACCAGAGCACATTTTGGCACAGCAAATGGTACTGAGGCGGAAGAGTCAGCACTTGCCCAAATTGTTCTTCCCCTGGCTGAACCAGGTGACTTCAGGAATATTGTTTACACTTCCTAGGGCCTCTGTGAAGTAAGCTGGCTTATTCTTTCCTACTTTCCACCTAGATAGTTAGAAGGATCTCAGCTCAGAGGAAGTAAGTCTTTGCGAGCTTAGAAAGCTTAGAGAGAAAACAAAAACAAAAAAAAAACATTGTTGGAGTCATGAAACAAAAGGTTAAATCTCATAGGAAAAAAGAGGGGGGCAACATGGTGACGAGTTTGGAGGTCTGGGAAGGCTCACCATTAGTGGGATAGTGGATGTGCCAAAGGGGAGAGTGATAAAGCACTCCTGACATTTTGTCCAAACCTGGCCCAGGGCCCGAGTATCTGCTGAAGCCACATCCCCTGGGCCTCTGTGCTCTGACTCAGTGCCTTCACCTGCTGCAAAGGGTGATTAGTAGCAATGCCCACCACCACAGCTGTGGGCTTCCTGCCCCTGCCTGCCCCAGGGCCTCTCGCAGCCTCATTCCTCCCGGCCTCCTCCCTTGCCCCCTTTCTGGAACAACTGCATAATCCCCTCTCCCCTTCCTTCCCCCTTCTCCAGTACTCCCACCTGCCCCTTCTGGTTCTGTGCCAGCAGCTGGTCGGTGAGCAGTGCCAAATCAAACAGATGTGTGTGGTATTGGCCGGCACGCGTTACTAGGCTCTCTGTCCAGCTCCGACCCTGACCAGGGCTCTCTCTCAAGTGATTGAAGGCTGGCACCCCCTTTCTGGGGCACTTCAGGGTCTAAGCAGAGACCTGCCTCTGACTCTGTGTTCCCTCCTCCTTCTCCAGAAGTTATCTTTATTTCTCTCCGTTCAGCACCTCTTCCCCTTCTTTGTTGCTTATTTTGTCTTGTTTTTGTTGTTGTTGTGTTTGTCTGTTTTAATTCTTCTTCATTAATTAAGCACAGGAAACTTTTAAGAATTACATTGAAAAATAAGGCAAAACATGGCCTTTGAAAATAGGTTTTAAAGTTCAAGTTCCCCTAGATTCATAAAAGACATCACAACAGGCCAGACATCAGCCAAGTCAGAAGAATAACAGCTGGTCCTCTTCACCGCAGCCCAAGCCCAGGATCTTAAAGATGTCACTTCCTTCCTTCCTTTCTTAGTCAGTGGCATGCAAAATTCAGGGTAATTCTCAGAAGTAGGTGCCCTTGCAAGCAAGTGTCTTTGATTTTTCTGTACAATTGGCTAATTCTACTCCCTCCCACCTACCTGTCTAAGTGGGGATGACTTGAGAACAACAGCAATTAACTTCTGCAGCAATGAAATCACATTGAAAATAAAGTTAGCATGTCTAGTATCAGGATACAAAGATTGCTCAGTGTTTTAAAGTATCTATACATTTTTTCTTATAAGTATAAAAAGTGAAACAGCTTGCACTCTGCATAGCTTCTAGCTGAGGAGTGGTCCCAACAGAAATTAAAAACAAAAAAGTTTAGTAATTCATACAGATTGTTTTCCAAAATGTTGGAATATGGTTGGTACCTACCTGAATATCTCAAAATTCCACAGATGTGCATGCCTTTTGCATTTGTCAATTGAATAGAAAATGCAAGATTATTGAATTAGGCCTTGCCTGGGTTTCTGGATACAGCTTAAGAGAGTGTCGGCATTTAAGAAATATTAAATTATAATAATGTGTTTCCCACTTTGCCCTGATCCAGAAAGCTCCGAGATGAACCTGATGTTCAATCCAACAATTATATTAGCCTTTGCCACTTCTTTCTGCTTAAATTTAAACTTCTGGTTGTATCTTTTTATACCTCAGGGTATATCTTCTTTTCTGTGATTAATCTCCAAAGTTCTCTTTGTAAAACGAGGATGGTATGCTAAATAAGGGGAACTCCATAAAAATGACTTCTAATAATGATGATGATTATTCATGACGCTTCACTTTCTACCTTTAATTAGTTATTTATGTACTTGGTGTAAGGTCCTCATTAGACTGCAAATTCTCCGAGGGAGGGCAGAGCCAGGCCTGCTGTGTCTCTGTCTCCCCTGGGGTGGGTGTTTAGTGAGATTCTGTTGGATAAATACAGCTTTAGGATTAATTTTAGAGGCAATCGAATGAGGTTGCCTTCCCCTTTCTTTTACATTTCTTCCCTTTTATGCTTTCTTCAAAACAGGCTCTATTGATGTAACTTTTGCACTCAGGCAGCTCTGAGCTAATATATGGGGCTGCTTCTATAGGGCTGGTGAGAAGTTATTTTCTACTCTTTCCCCTTTGAAGCCCATCATAAATTTTCTCTGTCTCTGCATTGTTCTCTTCCCGCTTCCTGCATAATACTCGGTAATGTTCTTCTACATAAATAATAACCACTTACGTTTACATAAGCACTGGTAACATTGGCACATTCCTCTCAGAAAGGATTTGAGATGGACATCTTAGAGGATTTTTAAATTTTACAGCACGCTCTCAGATGCCACTGCTGCTGGTATTAGCTAATATTTATTGCATACTTACCACGTGCCAGGCTTTAGGCAAAGGCTTTTTGTACACTATCTCATTTAGTCCTTATAATAATCCCATGGAGGAGCTACTGATAGTATCCTCACTGTCAATACGAGGAAAATTTGAGGCTCTGGAATTTGCCCGAGTTTGCACAGGCAGGAGGGAGCAGGACTGGGATTTGAACCCTGACCTCCAACTACTAAACCAAGGCTCCTAGCCTCTGAGTACTGATAATCACTTTGGGTCACTACTTCAACCCAGTGAAACAGGCCAAGTGAGAGTGATTAACTCTGCTCTACAGGTGAGAGGAACAAGCAAGCACAATGTTTATCGAGTGTCGGTGATGTCCAAGGCACTATGCTTTACTCACAGTCCCTCATTTGGCCCCTCCAGTCATCTTACAAGGGGACCTCAATATCTGTATCACAAATGAGGGGACAGAAGATGTGAGTGATTAGCTAATTTGCATAGGCACTCAGATGAGAAGGCAGGGTTTCATTCTGGGTCCATTTGGCTCCAAGCTCCATATTTTTTTCCACTGTACACATCGAGAAACCAGCCCAAGTTTGCATGGTGGGTTACAAAAAAACACCACCAAGTTTGGTCAAACTAAAGTTCTTTCAACTGCCCTTTTCAGGTTCTGGTGTCTTTCTGGGGTCAAAAAATGCAGTGTCTTTCTTCATGTGACTTTGGATGGGGGGAATATCTTATTATGACTTGACAAGGCAAATGCAATTGAATTTTCATCTCATTCAGAGCAGAGAGAGAATAGCTTTGGGAACGAGGCTAGTTTGAAACAAGGGCTCCTGAAGCTAATTAAAAGCTAGGCTGGAGCTGTGCTTTTTCATTCCCTAAGAATGTTCGACCTCATTAAATAGGAAAAAGCAAGTGGAACTTTCTGATTTTTTTTTCGGGTTCTGCATGGGGTGGAGACTCTGAGCGAGTGAAGCAGATATCTATGGCTTCCAGCCTGCACAGTGCCACAGTGCCAACACCGACATCACTGTGATGATGAAGACATACCCTTCTCAAGGGCTCTTCACCCTGGGAGAATGCTAACTTGGCAAAGCAGAGACAGAAGGACATCACGACCCCTGCTTCAGGCTCTCAGCCCCCTGCACAAGCTCCTCCTGCCATCGCAGGGTGTGGGGACAGAGTAGGCAAATGGTTGGTCTTCGTCAAGTCCTCCCCTGGGCTCACTCACAGACACCTGGCGCTAACTGGTTCCAGCCAAAAGAAACAGAAAACTTCACAGACTTTCTCTGTGGTCTCTGAAAAGAATACAAGAGCCTAAGACATTATTCTAGTGTTCAGACTTCCAGCTCACACTGGCCAGTGGTAAGTCAGGGGCCATGTGCTCAAGCCACTACGATGCCTGGGCAGGCCTGCGAAGACAAAAGGTCAGGCTGGCAGAGGTTTAGACCTGAATTCCTCAGGTTTTGATGTAAATGCCTCCATCAATGGGGTGCCTACTGGGTACAAGGCACTGTGCTAGCAACTTTGCATATACATATTCTATCTAAACATTCCAGCTACTCTGCAAAGTTATTTCTTAGCCTCATCCTGGAGATGAGGAAGCAGAGAGGGGCCGGCTATGATCTTCCTCTTCATGGCTTCTGATCCTTGTCTAAGTTAACTGAGCACAATCAAAGGAACCTTAGTTTTGCAAAATATCAGAACTGGAAGTGATATCAGAGGCCATGTCTACCTTCTGAGGATTATGATGAAAAAAAAAAATCCAAAGCCAGAAACGTACATTAATTTGCTCAAGGGCAAGCGGCAGAGTGGGCAGAGCCACCCTGGCCTTGGTTTGCATTGCACTGTGGACACAGAGATGTAATTGCCATCTGGGGTGAATGGAGCAAATGCCCTATTCTGGTTCTGACCTCAAACAATGATCCCCATAGACATGGTGGTTTTCAAATGGCTTCTCACTTGTTCTGCTCAACTTTCCTTAAAAATGAGAGAAGGGCAAGTTTTGCAGCTCTGGAAGATAAAGTAACTCGCCAATGATGAGAATGGACTTCTATGACTTTAAAATGTTTTAAGCCCCTCAGAAGAAAGGTGCAGGAGGAGAGTAAACTGTTTTGATATGTTCTTATGTTTATCATCTTGGACTCTTAGGAGTCACATGCTCTTAAACCTTCCCTTAACATGGTGACCGGTTTACTTATCTCACTCCTGGGTTTTCTCCAAACTGGTTGGGGTTCCACTGGAAAGCTCTTTAAGAAATGTTTCCTGTCTTATCTCACAAAGTCTCTAGGGAGTGTGTAGTCTACGTTCACAGCCATAACATACACAGCACTCTGTCTGAGCCACACACCGGATTGCCCAGACACTGT